CAGCCCTGGCTTGAGTGCTGACCTGGAACCAAAGGGTTGCCACCAAAGGGTGGCCAGTTTGATTAACAGTCAAGCCACACACACCTGGGTTGCATACCAGGTCCCCCAATTGGCAACCACACCTTGATGTTTCTCTTCCTCTCTTTCTCCCTCCCTTTTGCTAAAAATAAATAAATAAAATCTTCTAAAAAATTAAGAAATAAAACAATAGCATCAAATTTGTGAGACTAGAAAAAGGTAGAACAAAAATGCTGGGCAACAATGGCACTCATGTAAGATCAGAGTGGTGAGCAGTTTAAAGCAGGCTACAGAAGAGAAAGGAAAGGATAAGAAAGGAAAGGATAGTAATTTTAGTCTTACATATAGGTATTAAAACTTCAAGAGAAAACACATGAAAATTTCAAGAGTATGTGAGAAAGCACAGCTCGTACAATGTTTGAAATCAATGTAGTATACCGTATTAATAGCTAAAAAAAGAAAATCACATGACCATATCAATGCAGAAAAAGCATTTCATAAAGTGAACACCCACTCAAGATAAAAATTCTCTGAAAAACAGGAATAGAGAACTTCAACTTGATAGAAACTACCTAAAGAAAAAAAAAAAGAAAAACCCGCAACGAAGATCATTAATGGTGAAACACTGAATGCTTCCCTGTAAGACTGAAGATGAGACAAAAATGTCTCCTCTCACACTCTCCATCAGCATAGTGCTGGAAGGTCTACGCTGGTGGGAAAAGACAAGAGAAGGAAATAGAAGGCACATGGTTGGAAAGAAAAAATAAAACTGCCCGTATCTGCAGATCCCAAGGAATCTACAAAACAACCAGAACTAGTAACCGAATTCGGCAAGGTCTCAGGATTCAAGAACAACATGCAAATACCACTCACATCTCTACACACTAACAAAGAACATGAAGAATCAAGTTAAAAACGCAATACCATTTATATTCACTCCAAAGAAAATGAAAACACATTATGTTTTAAAACATAAGAAAACATGTACAGGACTTGTATTCTTAGAACTACAAAATGCTAATGAAAGAAGTCCTAAACAGATTGTTCACAGACTGGAATACTCAACAAGATAATAACATCAATCTTCTCTAAACACATATACAGATTTAACACAATTTCTACCCAAACCCCATCAAGACTTTTTATGGGTATAGATGAGATTCTAAAATTTATATGGAAACAAGAGCTAAAACAATTTTGAAAATGAAGAGAGGACCGGTCTACCTCATTTCACAACTTAGCTCAGTAATCTAGACTTTGTTGGGGGTGCAGAGATAAATGGTGATGGAAGGAGACTTGACTTAGGGTGGTGAACACACAATACAATAGACATGACATATTACAAAATTGTATACCTGAAATCTATACAATTTTCTAACCAGTGTCACCCCAATAAAATAAATGTTTTTTAAAAAGGCTTTATGGTATTAGCAAAGACACACAGGTCAGTGGAACAGAATAAAGAAGCTAGAAATAGACCTACATCAACATACCCAAATAGTCTGACAAATGTACCAAAGTAACTCAATGGAAGAAAAATAAACTTCCAATAAATGGTGCTGGAGTAACTGCACATCCACAGACAAAAAAATGAACCTGTACCTCAGCCTAACATTTTATACAAAAATGAACTCTAAGCAGATCACAGGCTTAAATGTTAGAAGAAAGTTATAAAAAAAAACTTTTAGAATAAAATCTTCAGGTAGAGTTCTCAGGCTTGATGCTCCAATACAAAATCCAAAAAAGGAAAAATGTTACACTGGACTTCACCAAAATTAAAAACTTCTGCTCTGCAATACCCTGTTAAGAAGATTAAAGAACAAGTAACAGGGTCAAAGAAAATACTTGCAAAGCACATATCCAACAAAGGACTAGTATAGACAATATACCTAGACCTCTCAAAACTCAACAGAAAAAAGTCAAATTAGAGAAAGGACAAAACACAAGAAGAGACATTTCATCAGTGGGATATAGAGATGAAAAATAAGCACATCGAAATATCTTTGGTATCATTAGCCATTAGGGAAGTGCAAAATAAAACCTCACTAGATACAGGCCAGAATGGCTAAAATAAAAAACAGTGATAATACCAAATACCGACGAGGATGCAGAGAAACTGGATCACTCCATACGTTGCTGGTAGGAATTTAAAATGGTACAGCCACTCTGGAAAAGTTGGGCAAGTTCTTAAAAAACTATATATACAGTAACTACACAATCCAATTAATTGTACTCCTGGGCATTTATCCCAGAGAAATTAAAACTTATGTTCACAAAAAACCTATGCACAAATCTTTATAGTACTTGTATTTGTGATAGCCAAAAAGTGTAAATAACCTAGATGCCTTTAACAGGTAAATAGTTAGACAAATCCATACTATGAAATCTATTCAGCAATAAACTGAGTAGTTGAACTACTAATACAGCTAATAACACAAATAAATTTCCAAAAAATTATGAGGGGGAAGAAAAAAAACTAACCAAAAAGGTGCATTCTACATCATCCCATTTATATAACATTCTTGAAAAGACAAAATCACAGAAATAAAGAAAAGATGAGTGGGTCCCCAAGATTCAGGGCAGAGAAGGAAGTGGGTATGGCTATAAAAAGGACTACCATATTTTTCGGACTGTAAGATGCACCAGACCATAAGACACACCTGGATTTTAGAGGAAAATAGAAAAAGAATATTTGAAGCAAAACACTGTGGTAAAATATTTAATAACATAAACAACACAGGATACTGTCCCCACCCGACAGCAAGCCAGGTAAGCTACAGTTAGATTTTCCTCCCAAATTGGGAGGTGTGTCTTAGTCCAAAAAATATGGTATATGAGGGGTCCTTGTGTTGATGAAATATTCTGTATCTTGACTGTGTCAATGTCAACATCCTGGTTGTGATACTGTACTGTTTTGCAAGATGTTACCATTGGGGAAACTGAGTCGAGAGTACACAGGATATCTCTGTATTATCTCTTACAACTGTGAACAAATGGACAGTTTAATAAAAAGTTTGATTTAAAATTACAAAGACTATTAGGCAGATTAATTTTCTTAAATTCAAAAACATGATATTCACAAGAGATAAAACTAAAATAAAAACACAAAAATATAGGGGAAGGAGAATTTTAAAAATCAGCCAAAATTAGCTGAGTCCCCCACAAACTAGTATAGCTACAGTAATATCAAAGAGTAGTATGTAATACAAAAAGAATGCCCAGCTATAAACAGACACTATGCAGAGTAAAAGTTTCTCAATTCTACACAAAAATAAAGTTAAAAATTCATGTACTAGTAACAATTTAAAGTATACTTTAAAAATTGGTCTGGTTTATCTCTCCACACCATGTCCCCCTCTCCTTTCTGGGAGAGTGAATAAAAACTTTCTAAAACAATAAAAATAAGAAGAAAAAAATTTGACAGAACTACACAGAAAAGAAACACTCTAGTAAAAGATTAACATACTCTGCTCTCAACCCTGGCTGGTGTGGACTGGGTGCTGGCCTGTGGCCTGAAAGGTAGCTGGTTCAATTCCCAGTCAGGGCATATGCCTGGGGTGTGGGCCAGGTCCTCAGCTGGGGACATGAGAGAGGCAACTGATTGCTGTTTCCCTCACACATCATGTTTCTCTCCCTCTCTTTCATACTTTCTCCTCTCCCTAAAAATAAATAAATAAAATCTATTTTAAAAAAGATTAGTACTCTGCTCTCTAAAAACATAAAGGTATATATATGACTCAACAAAAGATTGAACAACCCTGGATATATATAAATTTTCACACCAACACTTAGAAGGTACACATTCTCTTCAAGTACAAACAAAAATTATAAAACTGACAACACAGTTTCAATACATTCCAAAGGACTGATATACAGATCATGTTGCCTCACCACAACACAATCACACATCAAAAACTAAAGAAACTCCTCTATGTTTGAACATCAAACTTTAAGTAAATAATAAAGAATTCACAGAAGAAAGGAGAAAAGCATTCACAAGTGAAAATAATGCACATAAAAACTCGTGTGATGCAGGACAAGCAGCACACTGAAACCACTGGTCTTAAATGCCTATGTTAAAATTTGGAAAATAAGCAAGGTGTCCAATTCAAGAAATCAGAAAAAGAATAGAAATAAACCCAAAGGAAGTACAAGAAAAAACGTGAGCAGAAATTAATAAAATGGGGAAAAATACATTTTAGAGCATGTAAGATAAAAACGTGATTCTTTGAAGTCTTTAAACATTGTCAAGCTTTTAGCTTAAAAACAATGATCAAGGAAAAGAAGGCTTTTTTAAAAAGATTTTAAAAAGGGGACATTTTTTAAAGATTTTTTTAAAAGGGACATTAATTACAGTGACTACAAAATTGGAGACTAATGCCATAAATTCAAGAACACAGATGAAATGGACAACTTTCTATAAAAATATAACCACTAAAACCATTTGAAAATTTAAAATACGAACAATCCTACAACCAAAGCAATTGAAACAATGGTTCAAAAGTGTTCCTCAAAGAAAACACAAGTAACAATTTTACAAGGGAGTTATACCAAACACTTAAGAAACAGATCATTCTAATCAACATCAACTCCTGTAAAAGAGGAAAAGTATATATATTTTAAATTGTAAGTCAATTATTACACATTATTAGAGGCAGAAATCCTGAATTATCTTCAAACTGAGTCTAATAAAAAGAGATCAAGGTTGACTTTATACTTGAAACATAAGGCTGATTTAAATATTAGAAAATCAATCAATCAAGGTATTTCACCATATTAACAATTTACAAAACATTACAGTTAAAAGAAGAAAAACATTAAGGGTTACAGAGTAAAAACATGATCCTCTCAAAAGATGCAGAAAAGGCTTCTGATAAAATTCAAAATCCATTTTTTAAAATTAGCAAACAAGTAATAGAAAGGAACGTCCTTAACCTGAAAAGATTATCTACAATAAGCCTACAGCAAGCATCATACTTAACTGTGAAACTTTGAAAGCATTTCCTTTAAAATCAGGAACAAGATCAGGATGCCCCATCACCGCTTCTATTCAACATTGTACTGGAGATCCTAGCCAGCACATTAAGACAAGAAAAAAAAGAAAGAAAGAAAAAGCATAAGAATTGGAAAGGAGGAAACAAAGAGGTCATTATTCACAGACAGGTCTGTCAACACAGAAAATCCAAAAGAATTCTACAGTAAATTTATCATAATTAGGAGTACAGCAAGACTGTTATACAAAATCAAATTTTACCTCTATAGACCAACAAGATAGAAAATATAATTATCTAAAATATGATTTATAATTTGATATAAACATAAGGTACCTACAAATAAGTCTAATGAAATACCTGCAATAGTTTAGTTTAAGAAAATTATAAAACTTTATCGAGAGACATGAAGAGACCTAAATAAATTTTAAAAAGTAATAAAAAGTTAATTTTCTCCAATGCACTTCCCTTCAAAATCCCAACAGGCTGTGTGTGTATATCTACGTAACTTCAAAAGATGACTTTAAAATTATATGGAAAAGCTAACAGATAAGAAGCTCCTTGAAGAACTACAATACGGGAGGACTTGACCTACTTCCCTACCTCCTATTGACTGGCTGGACTATTTAAAACCAATCCTCCCTGTGAACAACTAAAAACTGGACATAAAACACATCTGTTTGAAGGCACAAAGTACTACAAAGGCAGCAAGGACCTGAGAGGCCAAGAGCTGTAGAAAGAAGGGAAGCCTAGAACACTGGATGCCTCTTTCTCCTGGAGGTATTTTCCACTGGGAAAAGGGCACTAGATAGGTTGAGAAGTCAAGCAGAACTCTGAATAGGCTTATAGGTCTGAGGAAATGAGAAGTTACTTGCAAAATATAACCTGTAAGAATTGGTATCCAGGATATATTATGAACTCATACAAATAAGTATGAAAAAGACAGATGGCCCAATATAAAAATGGGCAAAAAACTCGGCAAGTCACATCACAAAAGCTATCAAAATGGCTAGTAAGTATATTAAAAGGGGGTTAATATTATTCCTTAATAGGGGAATATGGGAATACAAATTAAAACTACTAAATATTCACCAAAATGTCTAAAATTAAAAGAGTAGACAAAGAAAGGACATGGAGCAGCTGCAACTCTATTATTTTGCTAGAAGGGAATGAACAAACTACAACATGCATGATATTCAGAAAGAAAGTAAGGAATGGGGGGGAACAGAGGGGGCGTACAGTTCTTACAAATTAAAAACTTAATTACTGAAATAAGCTCTATAGAAAAGGTCAAAGACAAAGTCAAGGAACTCTTCTGGAGTATAATAAACAAATAAAGCCTCAATTTGGGAAGTCCAACATTTACCTGTCAAGAGTTTGAGGAAAAACAGAAAAGGAGGGAAGAAATGATCAGAAGATAATTTCCTAGACCTGAAGAGTCTTAGAACTGAAAAAGAACCCACAAGAAGGAATGAAAAAGCCTACAACTAAACACATTTAACAGATCAAAGGTAAAGAATGATCACCATAAAGAATGGAAAAGCGGTTACTACAAAAGGATAGCTACCAGATTTGCAATGGAATTCTATTAGCAACACTGGGTGCTTTAAACGGAAAGAGCAGAGCTTTCAAAGTTCAGAGGAAAAAACTGCATTACCAAATTAAAATTCTGTATCTAAACCTTCAATCAGAAATAAAGGCAATCCATTTTCAAACATTCAAAAAATTACAAATTTTATCACCAGCATACCCTTCCTAAAACAATATTCATGATTATATTACAGTAAAATGAAAATGGAATTAAAAAAAAAAAAGACATGGGAGACTTCCAGCCAAGATGGAGGTATAGGTAAACACACTATGCCTCCTAGCACAACCAAAGGAAGGACAACAACAATTTAAAAACAAAAAATAACCAGAACTGAAAGAAAATCAAACTGAATGGAAGTCCGACAACCAAGGAGTTAAAGAAGACCAGACCAGTTCATCCAGACCAGTAGGAAGGGTGGAGAAGGGCAGCCAGGGAGAGAGGACTCTTGACAAGGCAGCAGCTGGTGGAGTAGGCAGTCCCACGTTTGCACGCAGATAAACCGGGAGGAACAACTGGGGGGGGGGGGGGGAGACAGACCTCTCCAGGAGGGAGAAACTCCCAGCCTCACATGAGAGGTTGTTAGAGAGACCCACAGGGTCCCAGAACGTGCACAGGCCCACCCACATGGGAATCAGCAACAGAAGGACCCAATTTGCTTGTGGGTAGTGGGGGAAGTGACTGAAAACCATCAGAGTGAAGCAAGCGCCTTTGTTTCCTCTCAGACCCCTCCCCCACATACAGCATCACAACACAAGGACATCAGTTGCCCCACCCTGGTGAACACCTAAGGCTCCACCCCTCACTATGTAACAGGCAGGCCAAGAAAAAAAAAAATGGCCCAAATGAAAGAACAAATCAAAGCTCCAGAAAAAATACAACTAAGTGATAAAGACATAGCCAACCTATCAGATGCACAGTTCAAAACACTGGTAATCAGGATGTTCACAGAATTGGTTGAATATGGTTGCAAATTAGACCATATTAGAAAAATGAAGGCTATGCTAAATGAAATGAAGAAAAATGTATGGGGAACCAACAGTGATGGGAAGAAAACTGGTACTCAAATCAACGGTGTGGACCAGAAGGAAGAAAGAAACGTTCAATCAGATGTGTATTAGCACATCTAGAAAGCAAGCTGCCCAAATTAGAAAAGTTGAGAGCTCCAGAAAGTCTATCTTCAAGAAAAACTAAATGGCTACCAGATGAAAACACATTATAATAGCAAATTTTAAAAATAATATCTATGAGCTCTCCTCACATAAGCAGGAGTTTGTTATATTTCTCCTTTAAGGAGCACAGGTTTAGTAACAGAATTTCCTATATAGCTCCACACCACTTGGTTCTACAGTGACTAATATTCATATTACAAAGGCTGGTTATTAGTATTCAATTTCTAGAATCTCCTTTAGAAGCACAGAGAAGTATAGAAGAGTTATACACTGTCATATAAATGATATAAATCTTGACAATGAAATAGAAAATTAAGGCTGGAAGAAGTGTGAAGGCAGGAGAAACCAAGAAAAATATATGGGTGTTAAGTGCTCAGAACTGAAGAGTTATTGTCTAAAATAGGCTAAGAAACAGAAATTAACCATTGCAAAAAGTTAAGAATAATCAATGCTAGAAGAGAACAAAAAATGTAAGAATAGAATTAGAAACAAAGTGAAAAACATAATGACCTAAATTTTATATCTACTAAAGTCAAGCAACAGATGCTGTTTAGAGGTAAAAGAAAAAAATTAAAATACAGGAAGATATGTTGGTATTTTTGAGTTTTGGAATTAACCTAAAATTTTTTAAAAAACAAAAACAGTTTAAGGCACTTATATGAGGAGTGGTACTTAGTGGGGAGGAAGAACTTCTACTTTTGGGGTTTTCTGCACTGACTACACAAGGATTGCTCTCATTTAAATAAAAATAAGAAACAGAAATAAGAGAATACAAAGTGTTATTAAAACTTGTTCAATAGCATAAAGTCAATATTCATGCAAATACCAAAAAATATATACAGTCTGTGACATAATAAAGATTTGCTATTACTGACCTATATGGATAAACAAATGGAGAGCTGTGAATGTCTGTTAGGTTTATATTTTTCTCAGCAGAATAAGCAAAGCAAAAACAACAAAAAAACATTTCTCAAAAAAATCCAGGAAAAGGCCACATTTCTAGGCCTTCAAAATAAACATTCATAGAAAATATTTTGGTCTATGATACCAACTGATTCCACATAACACTTTTACTTCAATTTGCCTTTCCAATTCCTTGTGTTGAGGTACTCCTCAATAAACACAAATTGTCAAGACAACTCAACGGGAAAAGAATTGTCTTTAAAAAAAAAAGTAATGCTAGGACTAATCCCTACTTTACACTGTAAACAAAAACTAACTCAAAATGGATCAATAACCTAAATGTAAAAGCTGAAACTATAAATATAACCCCTTAGATAAAAACGAGCATAAATCTTTATGACTGATTAGGCAACAGCTTCTTGGATTTGACATCAAAAGCAACAAAAGGAAAAGTAGATAAACTTCATCAAAATTTAAAACTTTTGTGCTTCAAAATACACTACTGGAAAAGTGAAGACAGTCCAAAAAAGGAAGAAAATACGTGCAAAATATATATTTGATAAAGAATGTGCATCTAGAATAAAGAACTTAAAATTAATTTAAAAAACAATTTTAAAAATGGGCAAAAGGCTTGAACAGACATTTCTCTAAAGATATACAAATGGCTAATTAGCATATAAAAAGATGTTCGAAATCACTAATCATCAGGGAAATGCAAATTAAAACCACAATGAGATACCACTTCACACCCATGTAATCCAAGAGATGTAGAAAACTTAGAGCCTTTATTATATACTGCTGGTAGGAATGTAAAATGGTGCAGCAGTTTTAGAAAACAGTATGGAAGTTCCTCAAAAACTTACACATAAAGCTACCATATGCCCTGGGTGGTGTAGCTCAGTGGATTGAGCATGGGCCTGCGAACCAAAGGGTTGAGGTTTGAATCCCAGTCAGGACACATGCCCGGGTTGCAGGCCAGTTCCCAGCAGGGGATGCACGAGAGGCAACCATACACTGCTATTTCTCTCCCTCTCTCCTTCCCTTCCCCTCTAAAGATAAATAAATAAAAATCTTTAAAAAGATGTCTTATAAAAAAAAAAGCTACCACATGACCCAGAATACCAGTCCTACATAACTACCCCCCAAAATCAAAAACATGCATCCAGCCCTGGCCAGACAGCTTGGCCTGTTACAGCATCATTCCAATATGCCAAGGTTATGGGTTCTATCCCCAGTCCGGGCACAGACAGGAATCAATTAAGTAATGCATAAATAAGTGACATAACAAATCAATGTCTCTCTCTCCTCCCCCCTCTAAAATTAATAAATAAAAATTAAAAAATTAAATATAAAGTCCTGGCCAATGTAGCTCAGTTGGTTGGAGACTCAGCCCAAAGCCCAAAAGGTCTTCCATTG